GATGATATACTAGTGACAGGAAACGATCGATGCAAAATGGAAGAATTCAAAGGACAGCTTGAGGAGATGTTTGAGATGTCCAACCCAAGTGAAGTAACATACTTCCTAAAGATGGAAATAAAGCAAGCTCAGAATGGGATTTTTCTGTCACAAGCAAAGTATGCACATGAAATCCTTAAAATGTTTAATTTGATGGAGTGTAAAGATGTCTCTACTGCGTTAATTCCAAACCTAAAGTTAACTAAAGATGAAACAGGTGATAATGTGGATGAGGGAAGGTACAGGAGCTTAATTAGCAGCTTGCTGTATCTCACAGTTTCAAGGTCGGATATATTATTTGTTGTAAGTTTGCTATCACGGTTTATGTCATCTCCAAAACAATCTCACATGGCAGCGACAAAGCATTTATTGAGGTATCTAAAGGATACCCAAAATTATAAAATTTTATATGAGGCAAAGGGAGAAGGAAAGCTGCTCGGGTATATTGATAGTGACTGGGCAGGGAGTCTCAATGATGCACGCAGCACTTCTGGCTATCCATTTTCGTTTGGCTATGATGCTTTCTCCTGGGCATCTAAAAAGCAAGAAATGGTTGCACAATCTACAGCTGAAGCTGAGTGTATTGCTGCTACAGGTGCCGTAAATTAGGCGGTATGGCTAAGGAAAGTAATGCAGGATCTGAAGCTTGATGCGTCTCTGCCAACCGAAATTCAGGTGGATAATAAGTCGACTATAGCAATCGCTAAGAACCCAGTGATGCATGGTCGAACTAAGCACATTAATATGAAGTTCCATGCAATTAGAGATGCTGAAAAGAGTGGTGAAATCAAGCTTACTCATTGCTCATCCGATGAGCAACTTGCAGATATTTTAATGAAGCCGCTTGAAAAAGGGAAATTCGAAAATATGAGAGAGAAGTTAGGAATTATATAGATTGATTCTTAAGGAGGAATGTTAGATTATTAAGAATCAGTTAAAATTTATTCTTATCAGCTTGTATTTGAATTTTAAATTTCAATTTTTGAATTTAATTGTAATCGGATATGGTAAAATTTGAATTCAATTGCAAGCCTATCACTTGCACGAGAAAATGGGATTTATGGTTGTAAACTGGCTTATTTAGACCATGCAAATATGAATGAAAAAAGAAGACCCTTTCCTCCATTGCCTTCTTCAAAAATCATCTAAGCACGAAACAGAGGCGTTGGCAGGGTTGCACTCTGTTTTGGTGCTCTCTCTCTCTCTTACTTTCTCTCTCTACAAAAGCTACGTAAATAGCTTTTACATGCAGCAATTTCCTACATAAAAATACTACAAGGCAGGAACAAATGTGTGACATCCTGATATTCGGAGAATACAGTGTCCGATAACAAAACATATACGAATGCATTAAAATTATATGTACAGCGGAAGTTAATTCATCCCTTACAAAAAACAAGAGTATATATCACTGAGGTACAAGAATTAGCTACAAATTTACAAAATGATTGTTCAACTAATTCTACAAAATACAAAAATAGAGTTCATCAAAATACAGCGCATCATATGCACTAATCATCTACTGGTTCAAGAATGGATCCAAGCAAGCATCAAGAGGTAATTCGAGGGACGAGTCCTCACTTTCCACATCATCTTTATATGTTTAATTATATGAAATTCATTTTGGAAATACACATCTCATTCCATAAGCAACAGAACAACCTCAGTGAAGGAACAAATCAATAAAAAA